TTTACCTATTAAACCTGTTCATATAAACCCTTAGAAACAGGTCATGCTAATAATCAACCAGGTACAATTATTGAGGGTCACAATATGGACGAGGTCAAACACCAACCCTATTGGTCTTAGCGCTCATATTAAGATTACTAGAAACTAGTGGAGGTAATATATCCTGTGTATAATCGCACTATGTCTCCTGTCTGAACTTTGGAACGTATAATGAAATCATACGGCCGTCAAAGTGGAAATTCCTAAACTACACTAGTGCGAAGAAGCCCATCATGAAATAACTCCACTTTCCGAATCAAAATACATTTTCTACCATAGGTCAGACTTTAATTTGGGATTCTTAATCCATGGCTTACCTCTCAGTGTTTTTGTATTTTCTCAGGTGATGCTGAAGGATATCCGTGACTCTAAGTGTATATCGAATATAGTGTTCGAGTGTTTGCAGAAGGGACAAGAAGCGAAACAACCTAAACAAGGTTTACTTCAACAATCAAAAGATCATGCCCAAAGTAGCATGGACTCATCTATACCAACTCTGAGCTTGGACGAAATTTCTGGCGCATGTGAACTGACATCTGGGGATCGTAACATATTCCCTATTGTCGCATATGTTCTTTCAGCTCAGTACTGGCCAGAATTTCCTGAGGAGCATATTAAGCTGCCATCTAGCTTGGCCGAATCCTTCAATTATTTCAAGGGGTAAACTCTGAGTGTTTATTGTATTGTTTCATTGTTTTAATCAAGGTCTCTAAATAAAAAATTGATTATATTGCCAAATAATAAGTACCAATTCAACCTTATTTCTGTCTACAGTTGTTTCGAAAAAATCAAATCAAAACGTACCGTTAAATGGCTTCACAGGATTGGCTACGTGGACATCGATATTGAACTTAGTTGTCCAGAGAATGAAGGAGACATGCAGAGTCAATCCAAAAGGTCTCGTGTGGTGCACAACCTCGAAGTGACCCCTCTTCAGGCGGTAATCCTGCATCTTTTCACCCACCATTCGAGATGGACGCTTCGACAACTTGCTCAGGTCATTTAGTCACTCTCTCCTCATATACTTTTATTAAAAATACCTGCGCAGTGGACAAGAAATAAGCGTATCCGTACAATGCTTAAATGTCTGCCTTTATACCCAGTATAACAAAGTCAACCACCCATAAAGCTCTATCTCGTCGACATACCATCACTTGTAGTCAATAATTAGCCCTCTTTCCCAGAAACAGTTGCGCAAAAAACAAGTGTCTATTGGCTGTCCCCATTAAGTATTCCATACCCGTGATTATTAAAAATATGCATTCCATAGGGCGTTATTTTGCCAAAATCGTATAGGTTTAGGTGGACAGTAAT